TTGGACGCCGCTCTGCCTTGTGATTTTGGGGGGTTTAGGGTTTAGGGGGTTCACTTCGGGTTTGGTCTGGGGTAGATTTCTGGCAGGCATGGTCTTGAATACAGAGTTGATGCATAGGGGGGCGCTTCGGGTTTGGTCTGGGGTAGATTTCTGGCAGGCATGTCTTGAATACGGAGTTGGAGGGCACATGCATTTTACGACTTTTTCGGACCAGTATCGCGCGTTCTGCAGACAGAAGGATAAAATTGTGAGAAAGAGAAGTACATGTATGCATGTCATATTTGTTTACGTAACATACACATATACGTATAACATATACACATATATGTATATATACTTTTACATATGCAATTACATGCATGTCTATATTTATGTGTATGCACACGGCTGTGGTCATTGCCGGGCAACAACAAATGTATGCAATGCCAAAGACTTGCCTTCCATTTGGGAGGTGCCTTGGTACAGTTGTGAAGCCGAAGAATTCCTCCCAATCCTCCCCCCCCTATCCCCCATCCACCCCAGCCACCCAAGAAAAACACCTGAGCCCTTAAACCCTAAACCCTAATCCCCTAGACCCTACATAATCCCTTAGACCCTAAACCATCAAGTTAAACCCCAAAACCCTCATGCCCTAAACCCTAATCCCCAAAACCCTAATCCCTCAAACCCTAAACCCTAAACCCTAAATCCTAAACCCTAAAGCCCCAAAACCCTAAAAACCCTGAAACCCTCAACCCTAAAACCCTCAAGTCGAGGAAAAGACATGCCCAGCCTCTGGTCTCTGGCGTTGCTGGCCACCCTGGGCCTCGGCCTCCTCGCCACGGCGTCGTTGCGCCGGAGACCCTAAGGCGACGGGAAAGCTCACGGACAACACAACCCCAAGCACCAAAAATACGGTTTGGGAACAGTGGGGAGGTTTGTTTCGTTTGCATCCCGCAAAAACCGTCAAACGAGCACCAGGCCCTGAGACTCTGAGGCGACCTTGACCCTACCGGAGGCTACGTAGAGGGGCCGTAAATAAACCCTAAGCCCTAAAGCCCTAAGCCCTAAACCCCTAAACCCCTAAACCCCAAACCTACGGTTGTTTGAGGAGAGTTTTTGTTTGAGGCGCATGTGTGAGATAATTTAATAGCATAGGTATGTGGGGACGATAGTCTTCCTATTATTTATTCAGCCTCCCTATTGGGGAACCTACCGTTTTGCAGCCCCTGTATGCCCTATAGACTCTAGACCCTTCGCATAGCCTCATAGGGATGCTAGAGCAAAGTAGATCCCAGAGAGACCCATACCCCCCTTATTTAAGGAACATGGCTTTAAACCATGCATAACTGAAGCCCCTTATATGTTAAGGCGTCTTCTTCCTTTCAGGGATTTTTTGGGGCTCTCTGGGTTTATGACAGACGTCAAAAAGCCAAGAACACCCTAGCCCTGAGGGGCGGCATACTCAAGCAGTAGGGTTTTTAGGGTCTGAGTGGATTTGAGCACCTAAATCCCTGCTAATGATGACATAGTACTGGGACTCTTGGGTTCTCTTACTGGGTTCTTGTTCAGGTACTGAACAACATAGTCACCGTAACTTTGGCAAATCATCGGGGTTTCCTTCTTAATGGTAAGATCTCAGATTTACGATTACACCTTAAACCCCAAACCCTAAACCCCAAACCCCAAACCCTTAAGAAGCACCCCGCTTAAGACGCGTGGGCTTCAGCAGGCTCAGAGAGCTTAGGATTCGCAGTTTTAGGGGTCTCCGCTTCAGGGTTTCGGGTGTAGGGTTTGGGGTTTAGGGTCTCGGGTTTAGGGTTTAGGGTTTAGGGTTCATTCGGGGTTTAGGGTTTAGGGTCTCCGGGTTTAGGGTCTCCGGTTTCGGGTTGCGGGTGAAGGGTTTAGGGTTTAGGGTTTTAGGGTCGCCGCTTCAGGGTTTCGGGTTTAGGGTTTAGGGTCTCCGGGTTTAGGCTTTAGGGTTTAGGGTTTAGGGTCTCCGTTTTAGGGTTTCGTTTTAAGGTCTGTCCTCAGGGGAGTGTGGGAACAGGTGGTGTTTTTTTTAACTTGCACTTAAGGTTGAAACATTGCATCGAATCCCATCAGCAATGCGGATGTCGGTAGCTCTTTACCACGATATGTCAGCACTTCACGAATAGAAGCGTCTGCCGCACTAATTTCATGACAAGTTGTTATGGCCACATGAAGGCTTGCGGACGGCAAGGGGTATTCTGCACTCGTGTCCGCAGAATGAGTTCAAGTTTAGAAGCCTTTTGCAGGGCTTACAGTCGAGCGAAACCGCAGTTCCCGAGCAGGCTAAGCACTGTTGTGCCCTTCGGAATCATGCGGTTCATAACAAAACTCCAAGCGGCTATGAAAGAATCTTTTTTTATTCTTGGTTAGTTAGCATCTTGTGGCTTGGGGTTGGGGGTTCCGGGTTTTGGGAACTTGATTGTTTACCGAATAGTCCTATAATAAGTTGAAGGATATTGCTTAGATTAATGAATTCCGAGTTCCCATGCACCCTGTACGACCTCGCAAAAGTCGTGATACATCCTTATTCAAAGGCCCTTCAAGCTATGTTGCCCAGTTGTACCCGTATGCTGTTTTTAATTTCGGGGTCTTCTGCTTGATACTACATAGCACGAAAAGAGCAGTTTGGTTTTGGGGAGGGATCCGTACATGTACTAGGGGAGTCTTTGCAAACCAGACAGACACCACTTTAGGGGTAGGAATCATGAATAATAACAACCCCATATAGCCCCTAGGTACTTTCAATAGTTCGTTTTTTGTATAGCTTTGTGCAAAGCCCTATTCTTTTTGTTAAAGCCTTAACTACCAGATACGAAACCACATAAAACTCTCACAGAGCCTCATCAAAATCCTATTCTCAGTATACTTCCTTCCAAAATCTACCGGGTCTCCCCTACACCCTAAACCCTACTTGGAGGGTCGGGGGTCTTAGTAAGTAGATCTTAAGTGGAGTTGTAAGTACCCTAAAAGGGATCCTAATTGGGGCTATGATACTTATATGTCCATGAAATAACCAGTCACTAAGTCCCCCGACCCTCCAAGTAAACCCTGATCTTTGAAGCCTTGAGCCCTAAACCTCGGCACAGGAGTGCACTCCGGCTGGCGAGAGCTTGCGGTGAGTCCCGAACCAAAGTCGTTTTGGGACCGTAGGCTTTAGGGTTTAGGGTTTAGGCTTTCGTACGATTTATAGGCCCGATCCCGAACCGCCCAAAACCCTAAGCTTCTCTTAATAGCTGAATGAGTACACTTAAAACTTGTTGGGAGACTACGATCCCTTATAGAATTATAGAACTGAAGTGAACATTTTTTGTTCTTATGAACTCAGCAGCTAAGTTCTTTAGGGCTTATTAGGAATATGTTGGCAAGCCCTTGGGATGTAATTTGCTTCTCTTGTGAGTCGCGCCTGACCCTTTTCCTTATAGGGACGAAAAGAGCCCTAAAAGGGTTTAGGGTTCAAATACCATATAGGGCTTTATAGTACAAGGGTTTAGGGCCCCTACTTTTAAGGGTCATTTGGTCCTTAAGGCTTACCCTCACAGACGTGCGTGACGCGAGTTCCCGGAGAAAGCGCCGCTGCCAAAACGGTCCAGGACTGTGATGCCGAGGCTTTTCTCTGATTGAGTAAACATGGAGCTACACCTGTGACCCCAAACCCTACAAAATAGTAGGTTATGACCCCTTAATTAGAGGGTAGAACCCCAAAAACGGTAGGTTTTCGGATTCCCAGGCAGCGTATCACCCCGATGTCGATAGAGGGGCTGCGCGCAAAATCCTGTACCTCGCTTCTGAGAAGCCAGTTCGTTTGATCAGAGCCGGCCGGCGTAGATCGGGCACTAGAGAGGGAGAGAGCAAACCCTAACCCTAAAAACCCTAAACCCCAAACCCTAAAACCCTAACCCCCGGTTAAGGGGGTTGCAGAGGCTCCGGGGATATTGACATGTCCTAATACACAGCCGAAAGCACTTTGCCAGATCCGGAGGGGTACGATTGCTTACGATTCGTGGGTTTAGGGCTTTGGGTTTAGGGTTTAGGGTACTCGAAACGTCTTGAGCGAGTCTCATGGGGCACCTGGCAGGCAACTTGCTCGTCCTGGGCGATGACTCTGCGCGTCGCGGAAAATCAGATGTGCGCAAGTGGTGCTGCTACATCCTAACGCACGCATGAAGGATACGGCCCCTAGTGTACTGTAGGGAGTTCTCTGTACGTGTATGACAACTACCGTATCGGATGCTCTGGGTAAACTAATTAAGCCATTTCCACCGCCTTGCACTTGCCGACAATGGAGCTTCTATTCCGATCCCGATTAAATGGTTCACTAACCCTAAACCTTAAACCCTAAACCTTAAACCCCTAAACGCCGTATACATGAACGACCCGATGAGAGCCTAAACCCGAAGCGGAGACAACATGCGGGCAAGACCCGAGACTGATATCAATCCTGTGTTGGAGTTTGCAGAGCTTTTGGCTCAGGTGTTAGAATACCATAGAACCCTGAAAGGTTACTGATCGTATTCCTTACTAGGGCTCCTTACTATCTGAAGTACTACACCACAAAACTTGCATTTCAAATGATGCCGGCCCCGAACTAAAGACCTAAAGCACTTGTGTGACTTGGCTGTTGTCCAGAGATAGGATAGTGGTTGCAGACGCACATATCTATTCATACACACATCTCCATCCATATATATATATATATGTATTTACTTATTCATTTGTTTACAATAAAGCAGTCTGGTGCCGTAGTCCGAAGTCTAACCACAATCCTGCAGCATACTGTGCACAAAGTCATTTTGGGAGTAGCGCGGTCTAAGCCCTAAACTCTGGACCCTAAACCGCATCATAGATGACAACTACGAACAGGAGTTGGAGAAGGAGTAAGAGTAGGTATTATAATTATGGGACCATAATATAGGAGCAGATTCAGAGCAGCAGCAGCAGCAGCAGCAGCAGCAGCAGCAGCAGCAGTGCATTGGTCGTTTTTCAACCCCATGGCCTGCCCGATGGAGCTGGCGAATCTGTACACGGCGTTGGGCGTCTCGGTCTCTGCAGGGGAAGCTGACATCCGTTCTGCATATCGCCGGAGGGCACTGGCAACGCATCCAGACAAAGGAGGCAGTGCAGAAGCTTTTCGGCTAGTTGTCAAGGCCTTCGAGACGTTGGCCGACCCCGGCCGGCGCGAGGCTCATGATCGAGAACTCGAGCGTGCAACCTCGGCACCGGAGAGCAAGACAGAAGCGCCTGGGCACGCGCCCCAGCCCAATAAGAGATGCCGGCAGCAGGGGCCCAAGGAGTCCAAAGCATCGGAGGTTAAGCCTAAGCGTCGATGCGAGGCTCCGACAGGCGACCAGACGGGTTCACCGCCGCCCGAGGGGATCCCCAAACTGGCCAAGGAGCTCCTGGGCCTTTCCCTGACAGTCATTCGCTCCCGCTTGAAAAAGTTGGTGCTGGAAGTGCTGCGTGAACTGTTGACGTTTCTTGAGACAACCGGTCTCCAAGCTGCACCGGAGTTCGGTGAGGACGAGGAGGAGAACTACGCATCGGCATCCGAGGACGACCCGGAGAATGTTCTACCTCTTTGTGACGATGAGTGCCCGGATCTTATTTTTGAAGCTGACCTTCAGAGCGAACCTAAGCTTCAACCCGACTGCAGGGGTCCTGGTCGAAGTGGTGTCAGGGGTGTAACTTTACATGTCTTTCGCGAGTATAAGACATATCGAGCGAACGTGGGATTCAAGGGCATTCGTGCACTGTCGCAGTACAGCCCTAATTTGGACACGATTATTGATTTTCACATGAGTCTCGTAGAGATGCGTCATCGTTTTATCAAGGAGTGCGAGTCTGGGAAACCTTTCGACCAAGCACTAGACCTTGCAATTGAGCAGCTGCATAGGGACAGGGAAGGAGCCGATGCGCTAAAGATGAAGCTTTGCTTCCTGTGCCGTCGTGTGACAGGCGGTAGAAAAGTAAGTCTGGATGAGATGAAGTTGGTGTGGCCAGCTTACCAAGAGGCTCTTGCTATGGGGCGCGAAGAGAAGCTGCTTCGCCTGCACCAGCGCGCGCAGGAAAGGGCAGCAAGGAAGCAGGAAATGCAGCAGGAACGAAGAGAATCAAAGCACGCAGCCAAAGTGCAGGCCCTGCTCACAGCTCTGCAAACTGAGCTTGAGATGCGCTCACAGCGCCTCCAGAAGCAGATGCAGCAAGCTTTTGGTGTGAAGACACTGCCCCAAGGCATAGTCCTCGCCAGCCTGCCGGGAGTCCCACAGCTCAACACGTGCTTGTGCCTTCGCCATAACTAGTAGACTGTGAGTGGTATTAAGACAGAATGATAAGGTCAGCAACACAAAGTTCTATGTTGGCTCAGCTTCGACTACAGTATTTGAAGCCCCCCCGTGGTTACCAGGACCTAGACTCACTATGATGCAGCATCCAAGGTGTGCACAGCTTCAGCTGAAGGATGGTTCTCTTTGTCAAGGCCCTCTCCGTGCAAGCCTGGTCCTGGCGAAGCGCGACATGAAAGAACTTTCGGCCATCCGAGAAGCAAAGGGCGACGATGCGGTCAAGGAGGAAGCCTCCAGGAGAGATGCGGACGTCATGACTTCTTTCTTCATGACTGGTCGGCTGGCTTGACAGAAATAAAGTTCTGCCTGTGCCGGGACCTGTTCTCATGATTCCGATAAACCCTAAACCCTAAACCCTAAACCTGAGCCCTGTCCCATCGGACTCATCTGCCTAAGCGCTCATGAGTCTCATGAGTTTCAGCCTGGAAAGCTGTCGGAAGAAGCATTGCAAACACGTACCTTCTCGTGTGTCATATACTTAAGGACGACATGAACCCTAAAATGAGATAAGGTTCATATTCCATCTCGAGATACAGAGTATAAGGCCCCATACTTCCAAGTCTCCCCAAATCAGCCCTTAAAGTTCCTGATCTGTAGACCCAAACCTCGAATGTCACCTTGAAGAGAGAGCTTTTGAGGCATGTATACATACATACATACATAC